AACTTAAAAAAAAAAAAAAGCCTCAACAGAAGAAGTTAAAGTTTATCAGAACATTTGTACAAGTGTGTAGATAACACTCAATCCTAAAGGCAGAGACGGATTTTAAATTTTAATTTAGCTTCGTTTAGTTTAATGGTGGTACTTATAAAATGCCTCCGAGTCCACTTGCATTATTGGCTTGTCTGGGGGATAAACAGCTGTGCAAATGATTTCAGCGTATTTTTTAAAAGCCGGAGGAAATAAAAACTGTCTCTGGAAAAGCCACACCTCACCCCGCTAGTTAATTCTTCAACAACTTCACTCCTCCTGTTGGGGGGGGAACTGGATCTAAGTGCCCGTCACCCCTGCGCTCTCCAGGGCGTGGCTTCCGAGCCTCACCCCTCGGGCACTCACCGTCAAGGCGAAGGTAGAGGAAGTTCCGAAAAGCAAAGTAATCCTCCATGATGGTCATGAGCGAGGTCATCTGGCAGAAAAGCAGCACGCGGTGATTAGTAGCTCGCAGTTTGGGCAGAATACGATCAAGAAGCTCAAACTTTCCTGAGGCCCGATACAGCTCAGCCCTGAACCCAAAAAGGCAAAACAAGAAGACAGTATTACTGCTGTCTTCTTGAAGGATCCAGTATTGCTCTCGTTTTCAGGCACTGCCTTGTGCGTAGTGAACATTCAATAAAATAACTGTGGAATGAATGAATGAATGAATGAATGAATGAATGACTATCCACTCCAGGGTGATGGGGGTATGTAAATGGAAAAAGAAAATGTTTCTATACAAAACCCATAAAGAGTACATTATAGATGCCAGGTATGATGGCAGATTCTGGAAAGAAATGGAAATCGTTTCATGTTCTGATTCTTTCACTGTGTGTGTGTGTGTGTGTGTGTGTGTGTGTGTGTGTGTGTGTGTGTCTCAATTCTCCCTCCCTCTTTCCCTCTCAGTTATACACACGTGTACACGAATATGTTGTATTTCCTTACACTGCTACTGAGCAAGCACATAATTATTAATTCAGGGCACGTAAGATTCATCCAAATATTTATTGAGCACCTACTACCAGCCAGGCACAACGCTCGGCATGTGTACGGGGATGAGAAAATAGAAACCCTGCCTTCAAAATGGCTAATTGCACATTGTGATAAGTACTGAAAAGAAAAATAGCAAGTTGCTATGAGACAATGCATAGCAACACGTGACGTCTTTAAATTAGAGCAGAGTTTGGCCAATTTCGGCCCTGGCCTGCTGCCTGTTTTTGTAAATAGAGTTTTGTTGGAATGCAGCCAGGCTCACTCATTTCTATTTTGTCTACGGCTGCTTTCATGCCACTGTGGGCCAAGTTGAGATAGAGACTTTTTGACCCACAAAGGTAAAAATATTTGACATCTGGCCCTTTACAGAAAAAAAAAAAAAAATTGCCAGCCTCTGATGCAGAGGGTCAGAGGTGACCTTGCTGAAGAGAGAATGGTTTAGCTAAAACCTCAGATAATGAGCAAAAAGGCAGCCAGGTGAAGAATGGCGGCTTGGGAATGGAGAGGAAGAGATTCCAGAAAGAGGGAAGCGTATGTGCAAAGGTCCTGTTGGAGTAAAGGAGGCTGGTGAGTCTGAGGAACGGAACACAAGCGTCAGGAGAATTCTGGAGATGAGGGCCAAGAGGCAGCAGGAGGGAGTGGGGACAGATGCCACAGGGTTCTTTTAACCACACTGGGTGTGTTAGCTTTCAGTGCAACGGGAAGCCCCTGACGGGTTTTAAACAGGAGACTGGAGAGATCTGCCACACCCTTCTACAAGATCACCATGCACACTGTGGAAGGATAGACTGGGAAGGGGACAAGAGGCCTGGCTTGCACAGAAGTTCATATCAAAAATAGGATAGTAGATTTACCTCTGTCAGGGTGTTAATGACCTAAACCAGGGCCTTTCCTCCACTGTAATAAACTACTTGTCTTTTGTCAACAGGCATGTGTTAAATTATTAAAACGTAATCGTAGGGCTGACGTGGCTGGGAACACCGGTCAGTGCACCTGCAGTCTACACTGAAGCGTATCGTCTGGCAGCTGATCCTGTGACACAGTGCGTGTTGTCTCTACAGACACATTTTCAAGTGTACGTCTTCCCAACATCCACCTTCCCGCCCCGACATCTCCTGCGGCCATGTTCTTAGTAAGCAACCTGGCCAGTCCCGTGATGGTGGCAGGAGTGACCAGAGCCAGGGGAAAGGGAAGCAAACAGGAGTGGGAGAGCCTAGAGGCACTGGTTCTGGATGGGTCCCCATCTCCGGTGCTTAGCCCAGGGACGCCATCTGCCTTTGGGATCCCAGAATGGCCCCTACATCCTCATGATCAATGTTCCCCGGGGCAAAACAGAGACTATCTGTTAATGCGAGGTTCTTTTTTGTTGTTGTAAGGCATGGCTCTCTTCAATGTCTGCTGCTAGGAAAAAAACCCAAAAACCAAAAAACCCAAAACAAACATTTCTCATACGGGCCATACTTTGACAAACTACTGTAAAGTCATCCATATTTATAGCAGACGAGACATTTCCTCTCACGCACGTCCATGTTAAGTGTCAACTTTAAATTTAATATGATAAGTTCTCTTTTCGGCTCAAGCTACACCACCGGTTATAAGTCACAATGTTTGAAGCTTCCACAACAATTTTTAGGACATGAGCATACCATTAAGTCTATTAAATGAGATCTATGTCCTTTGAATAGCCACATGCTTAAGGCATGGAGTAATTTATGCCAATAAAATAAAAGAGAATGCTGATGTTATCTCACCTCTGCTGAGGTGAGAGAGGACTGAGCAGGAGAACAGTACGTACGTGTGTGAGAGGAAACACTACGGAGGGAAAAGTTTAGGTATAACTAACTACTTTTTGGAAGAAAAATAAATTTTAAGATTTACCCATTGATGACCCCATTTGAATAGCCCAGGTGTTCAGCAAAGGATTCCTTTAAAAAAGAGAGGAGGAAAACAATGATTAAAAGAAAAAAACAAAAACAAAACCCAGACATGTAAATCATTAACTTAATAATGACTCTTGTAGTGAGGTCGTTCTATTTATTTCTTGAGTATAGTTAAACAAAATTAATAAATAGGAAAATACTTGTTAGACGATGAACCAGAAACCCCGTATCTTTGAATTCGGAGTTTTGTTCTGCCACGAACGTGTCCTGGGAGTTTCTGCAAATCTCCAGAATCTCATACTGAGATGACAGAATTAGTTTACTTATCAAACAGTGATTAAGTGTCCACTGACCCAGGTTTGAGCCAGGCAGGTACGGGGGACCCAGAAAGAACTGAGTATCTATCCCGAAGGAGTTAGGTCTAGACTAGAGGAAAAGCCTAATGTAAGCAAATCAGGATCAGACATACACATATGTATACTGCAAAGATATTTAACAGGTGCACTGTATCATAAATCTGAGTTTACTGACATTCTAAAATCCTCCCATACTGTGCTTTTCTTCCCTCTGTTACAGATAAGGCCCTAAATGGACACTGTTCCCTCAGGCGCCTGGCTTCCATTTTCAAAACAAAGAATTTTAGATTTAAAGAATGGTGGAATGTTACATCGAATTTTGAAATGCTTAATCACATAATTCCCTCCTCACTGATCCTGCAGAAGAAATAAATGACTGTTCTCCATGTGATGTTTCCATTCCTGCTTTATGGAGAGGGAGACCATCTGTGGGGAAAGGAAGCATATCACACCTTCACATTAGCCACCAGCTGTCACCCTTCTCTGCTTCCTTACTTTCTCCGACCCACGGAGCTTCCCCTCCAAGGGGATCAGATCTTCCCCTTTGGGCTCTCCTCTCGAATACCCTCATCGCCTGTGGTGGGCTCAGCCCCTCAGGATGCTGCCCCGCTGGCAAGATCAACACCGATGGACAACGGCCAAAGATCCCGCTCTGACTCCAGGAACCACGTGGGCCTGCCCATTCCACACGCAGCCACTCCCGGCTAGATTTTTGGGTTCTGTCCCTATCTCCAAGAGACGTAAAAACCATAGAGATGGTACGTGTCGGTGCATGGTGGCAAGTTGAGGAATTAGCAGCATTTTAAAAATGCTGTTTTCGGGGCACCTGGGTGGCTCAGTTGCTTAAGCGTCCGACTTCAGCTTGGGTCATGATCTCGAGGTTCGTGGGTTCAAGCTCTGCCATCAGGCTCTCTGCTGTCAGCACAGAGCCTGCTTCGGACTCTCTGTCCCCCTCTCTTGCTGCACACCCCCCCTCCAAAACTAAACATTTAAAAAAAGTGCCGTTTGTCATTTCCCTGGCTTGCAGGTGCTCCGGGGAAAAAGTGAGCCCACAAGAGAGGCTGGATTTCCGGTATGATTTTGTAAGAACAAAGGTTGTGGGGCAAACAATACAAAGACAAAGGCAAAATGCGTGCACCGACTCTGGGCTGTATGGGTGCTATGTGTGCCAAAACCGTGAGTCTCCTTTCTAGGAAGATGCTTCTGAAAGTTTTTGTGATTAAAAAAAAATGTAAATCAGACTGTCTCTCTACTGAGTGCTATTTACAATGTAAAGGGGCGCCTGAATGGCTCAGCTGGTTGAACTTCTGACTCCTGATCACGGTTCAGGTCATGATCTCGAGGTTCATGGGATGGAGCCCCGCATTGGGCTCGGGGCTGACAGTGCAGAGCCTGCTTGGGCTCCTCTCTCTCCCTCTCTCTCTGCCCCTCCCCTGCTCGTGCTCTGTCTCTCTCTCTCTCTCAAAATAAATAAATAAAATTAAAAAAAAATGTAAATATGCAAGTATTGGAAGGCATGTTACTTAAACTTAGCTCCTTTGATGATCTTCTCCCTCAGGTTCTCCGGATGGAAAAGCTTGAGGGAGGAAGACGTCATCCCCCTTCCTGACATGACCTCCCATGTTTCAAAGGCTAATTTTTGCATGAGAACCAAAATGAAATTAGGTTGACACTTAATTTTCCTAACTTGTAAGCTCTCAAACCCCTCTATGCATACGAATAAATATCTTAAAATTGTTTTGCGGGCAAAATGGGTGGGTGATGGGTTAGCCTGACATGACCCCAAGTCATTTTCATCATGAAGACATTTTATTGGCTCCCCACGCCCCCCCCCAGTCACAAACCAATGTAAATCCACCACAAATTCATTGCTACCTTTGATCTGTTTAATATATATTGTCAATTTACAAGATGCTTCCGATCTTATTTTTTCTTTGAAGTTTAGCCTCTGCCAGTCCTATAATCAATCTGTCACCATGAGATGACAGGTCAAGCACACTG